GCCCTGGCCCCAGCAGAGCCTGGGAGCTGGGCCCATTCTGCCATGGGAAGTGCCCGGCCTGGGCCAGGCCAGCCCCCATCGCTCCTAGTTCTGTCCCAGAAGCGGCGGTGCCAGACAGGGCTCCTGGGCATTAGGTCCCTGGAGAGGAGGGTCCAGCTAGCAAGCAGGGGGCAGGGGAGAGCCCCAGTCCCCACCACCACATACTCCCAGGTCTCCCAAGTCCCACACAGCCTGGGCGCCCGCGCCCCGCAGGTCCCCAGGGCGCTAGCCCAGCCTTACCTATGTACACGTTGCCTTGGGTGTTCACCATGACGTTGCTGCCTGGCGACTCCCCACTCACCAGCTCCTCGCCGTCCACCTGAATGGAGCCCCGCCTGCCTTCCCTGCAGGGCACAGAGCTAGGCGTGAGCCAGGTTTGTCCAAGGCTGGCCCCCATCCCAGCCGGGAGCGAGGGGGCAGGACGATCGACCATGGGGGAGCTGCGCCCACTGACACCAGTGACAAGCCCTGCTCCCCCCCCCGGGCTCCCCGGCTCCAGGCTGCAGCCTGGCTCAGCCCCTCTGCAGGGGGAGCATGGGACTAAGGTCCTTGGCAGAATAGCTGGAGGGCTGCCTTGTAGTGGGATGGCTCCCTCCCCCTCCCTTCCCAGGGGGCCATGCGGGGGCTGTCTGGCTCCAGGACGGTGATGAGCTAAGCCCCGGGGGCCCTCACCGAACGGCTGTCACTCTGTGCCACTCTCCATCGTTGATGGGGTCCTCAGAGACGATGCTGGCTTCGCCGCTGCCCAGCTGGTAACTGCGGAGAGAACGGCTGGTATTAGCACCCACTCCTGGGGGGCAGTGTCCACATTACCCAGTGCTTGGGAGAAGGAGGCAGTGTCCGCATTACCCAGCGCTCGGGGGAGGGGGCATCTGCATTATCCAGCGCTCTAGGCGGGCAGCGTCTGCATTACCCAGTGCTTGGGGGGAATGGGGTCTGGGAGAGACTGGGGAAGGATGGCTCTGGGACCCTAGGGGTGGGGCTCAGGGTGCATTTAGGTCTTAGAGGCGGGAGAGTAGATCTGAAGTGAAAGAAGTGGGGAGAGAAGGTGGGTCCGGGGTCCCAGGCAGGGGGAATGAGGATCCAGGGTGCAGGTGGGTCCAGGGTCCCAGGTGTAGGGGCAGGTGGGTCCGGGGTTCCAGGGGAAGGAGAGTCTGAGGTCCCGGGGTGATGGGGAAGGAGAGTCCACGGGGAGAGGGAAGGTGGGTCTGGGGTCCCGGGGAGAGGTGGATCCGGGGTCCCCGGGTCAGGGGGAAGGTGGTCCAGGGTCCTAGGGATGGTGGGAAGGTGGATCTGGGAGCAGAGGGAAGGTGGGTCCAGGGCAGGTGGATCTGGAGTCCCAAGGCAGGAGCTCTGGGGATTCTAGCTTGTGCCCTGGATGTGATCCCTGGCTGGCAGGAGGCAAGCGTCAGGGGCCACATGGCCGTTTGCTCCTCGGCTGGCGCCAGGCCATGCTCACCTGAACACCAGGTGTCCATCTCTCAGGCCGAGGCTGATGAAGTCCTTGGCTTTGCCGTTCTGCCCTTCCTCCTGCCAGAGAGAGACGTTATGAGACTGCTGGCTCCTGTCTGGCTGGGACCCTGCTCAGGAGCCAGCCCTGGAGCCATGGGCCCTGCCTGCCATCCAGGAATGGGTGCAGCTGAGCTGGGAGCCAGTTCCACAGCTGGGCCCAGGGCATGAGCCAGCCAGTGCCGTGGGGCCCATGAAGCCAACAAGCAGCGCTTGCTCCCCTGCAGGGCTTCTTGGCAACGCCGGGCTGGATGCGCCGACTGAACCTGTACAATGGGGAACGCCTGCACAGGCACCCAGCTGCACTGCCTGCGGGCCTTGGGAAATGCCCACCCCTGCGCGGCTGGGGACAAGTGGGGGACACGGCTGTCGGGAGCCAAGTTGCAGGGAGTGTTCGCCAGTCGGGGCTCCACGTGTGTCCCTGGCTGCGGTGCGGCACAGCCCGGTGATCCCGGAGGCCGTAAGCCCCACTGCTGCTCCCCATGTGGTGCCAGGCCCAGCACCCAAGGGCCCTGCAGTAAATACCTCGCTAGTAGCATGTGGCTTGAGAGCAGGCTGCCCGGTCACCTGGAGGAGAAACGTGCAACAGGGCGGTGAAATGCCCACGGACAGCGAAGCAGCATGCGCCAGGGGGGTGATGGAGAGCCTGGCAGCCATGGCACGGCTCAGGGAGCGGTACCCTAGGGCGACGCCAGGCCCGCATGGCATGGAATGAATAGTTGAGCATGGCAGATTAGTATGGGCCTGGCTCTCTGGCCTGAGCCAGGCGGCACAGGCTGGTTTCATGCATGCGCAGGCAGGTCAGACAATGGGGGTGGGATGGGATGTGAATCCAAAGTGGAGCTGGGTTCCAGCCCATGCCATAGCCGGGGAGGGAGCAGCCCAGCATGCTGGCTGGCGCGCCATGCTCGTGGATGGGTGCTCTGATCACACTCAGCAGCCAATCCCCCAACTGACAGCAGGGGGCACTGCCGGTCAGACCCGCCTGGCACCCAGATTCCTGTGTGCTGCACCTCCTTTCCTGGAAGGAAGGCCCCTCTCCCTCCTCTTCGGAGAGGGGCCTCCTCTGCGTACTCTGCCCTTCCTGGGGGCCCATTCACCTAGCCCTGCCCTCCATCCTGGCTCCCCCCAGCCCATAGGCCCCTGAGGGGCTCACTGTGCCCCTAAGTGCTGAGGGAGAAGCTGGTAACTCCAGTGCCCTCTCAGCCATCTGGGATGCCCTGGCCCTCTCCCCAGTGGGGTGTGCCCAGCTCTGTCCTGCCTCACGCACTGACCCCTCTTCCCCCCCTTGCTGGCTGCTCTCAACCCGCCACTGCAGAACTCCAGGCCAGCAAGTGCTGGAGATGGAGTCGCCTCGGCCAGGGACGTGGCTGCAGCCCGTCCCTGGTGCTGCCCTCAGCCCTGGAACCCAGCCCCGCGAGTCACGCCCGGGCCGCCCTCATCTCCGACCTGCCCCCGCCCACATCTCCGACCTGCCCCCGCCCGTGTCACCCTCACCTGGCCCAGCCTCCATCCTGGCCCAGCCAGCCCCTCCCCATCACCCACCCATCTCCCGTGCTGGCCTGGCTCCTTGGGTCTCTGGCTGGCTCCCACCTGCCCCAGCCCAGCTCCTCTCCCCCTTGTGCTCACCCCGAGCATCCCCCACATAGCGAGGGGCCCAGCCCCCAGCGCGACTCACCACGCCCTGCCACAGGAGGAGGCCGTTCGGGGAGCGCGTGCGCACTTCCAGCTCAATGGTCTCTGGAGACTTGGGGTGACTGCAAGGAGAAGGCAGCGGCTGTCAGCCCTGGGCCCCAGGGTATATGGTGGGGGGCAGGGACCAGACCAGGGAGCCCTGCCCCCACCAACCCCCAGTCCCCCCGCCCAGGGCCCAGCTCTGCCATTCCTCTGGCCCCTGGAGCTAGGCCATGCGGCCCCTGGTGGGACTCATGCGGTCCCTGGTGGGACTCACGGAGCGGCCTGCCCAGCTCCCACTCCAGGCTCCTTCCCCAGCTATGCAGAACACTGCGGGGCTGGCACTGGGAGACGGAGCCAGTGCTCGCCCCGATGGCGCATGCTGGGAGCTCCGGCCCTTCCTGAACACAGACGGCATGGGGCAATGGGGCGATGCCCCTCCTCCCCCTGCTCAGCATGGGGGCCCACTCACCTGCGGGGCAGCACGTGCCGGGGGAGCGCGAGGTAGCCGCCATCCTGGAAGTAGGCTCCGTACTGGCCTGGGGCGTCTGCAGGGCGAGAGCTGGGATCAGACAGCAGGGGGTGTTGGGAGCCACCCCGTCCCATACCTGGGCTTAACATTAACCTGGCTGCACCCAGGACCCTCTGTACGGAGCAGATCCCCTGGGGCAAGGGGGTGAGCACAGGGAAGCCAGTGCTGCTTCCTGACGCTTCCCCCCCTGCAGCTCATTAGAGCCCCCCACCCGGCGTGAGCTGCCTCACCCCATGCTTGGCCACCCCCGCAGGGAACCTCAGGGTCAGCCTGGGAGCTGCTGGGCCAGGGTTGCTAGTACAAAGGGGGAAGGAGAGAGGCAGTGGGTACTGTACCGTTTCCCCCGCTGCCCTCCAGGGCCCACTCACGGTCCAGCGCCGCCAGGGCCGGGCCTGCAAGGAGACAGACACACGGGTTACAGGGAACGCACCGCACAGCGGAGTAGCACATGGCACAAGCGCTGCTCCATGCCCGGGAGGAGGCAGAGGGCGTAGCCCTGCCAGCTCGGGCCTTGGTGCTGGCTCCCTGCTGGTCCCTGCACTGCACAGACCTGGGGATATTAAGTGCTATGCTCCAAACCAGAGCAACTGCCCCCCAGCCCCGAACACACACTGCCCCCAGCCCCAGCCCTGAGCACACGCTGCCCCCCAGCTTCAGCCC